AGTCTCTAGTATCCGATATCCAGTTTGCATCAAAATAAATTACTTACAGAATTTATTTACCGAATTGAATAAATATTTAAAAGATCAAGTTGAGTGTGTAACACTCTGTCCTTAAGACAAATTTGCCCCGCTATGGTGCCTACGGAAAAATGGCGACTATCTTGCAGGATACAATGATCTTTACAAATTGTAGTAGTACTCTAAATAATTTGTACGGCGAACAAAACCTACGTTGTATACTTTCTTAATTTTTCCTAAAAACTAGTACGAAGAGAATTTATGCAAATGAGTAATGCCGAAAGGGAACCAAGAGAATTTTAGATTTTTTTTAGGATGTAGAAATCTGCTGGAAAGGCCTGGTATTTATAGCAGATTGGTGACCAAACAAATCTGTCCGAACAGATGCAATTTTGAACCGAACAGGTATGACATTTGAAAGTACAGATACAGCTCAAATTTGAATAGATTTGCAGCAGTTTGAATCTATATAAATGTTGGCAGTTTCTAGCAGCTTTAAACCTATTAAAAGACAGTTTATCTGTTGGGAATTTCGGACTGAAAGAGGCACAACTATGGATAGAAAATTTGAATTCAAATTCGGTGCAAATTTTGAATTAATTTCCCACATGAATTTTTTAAAAAAATTCAAAAAAAAAATTTGTCCAAAAAATTAATATTAGAACCGACCCAACCCACACCCGCGCCCGGCCCGATACAGCTCCACTTAGCAGACCGGTCGAACAAACGGATGGCGCCAGTGGCGCGCGCGCATGTGTGATAGTTTGAGCCAAGGTTCAATTTGTCCATAACTCCTCCATTCTACAAACTTAGGGTTCTCCTTAGGGCCCAACCCAAGTGTTACCTCCTAGAACTTATATACACACATAAATTCTCTTAAGTTTCCAATGTGGGATAACCATTTCAAGGAAACCCATATTTTACTTCTTCAATTGTCCATTCCACGAACCCGAAAACGACATCAATTTTTCATTCACTCATAAATGGTTTTGATGAACCGTTTGTACCGTATGACTTGCCATACGGCAAAGAACACGTCACCTTTTGAACCCACCCCAAAAGACGTGTGGGACTTACTTAAATTTGGGCTCAAAGTTTGCCCAAAATAAGCCTATAAAAAATCATAATTCCAACATATATATATACATAAAACACATCTCTCTGTGTTTCTTCAATCATATACACAAATTCTCATATATATATATATATATATATTTATGATCTTCATATTTGAGCTGAAATGGAGAAAGTCATTGCAAATAGTGTTTCCACTCTCTTCTAGCTTTCTCTCTCTCTCTACTGTACTTTTTTTTCTCTCTCTTCTCTCTAGAATGGTTGTTGGAAGATGAGTGTGGGGAATTTGGATTCGGAGAGGAAGAGGAGTGAGAGTCTTAGGACCAAACAAGTGGGATGAGGCTCGTGTCGTGGAAGTTAGGCCGAAGTAACAAAGTCGCCGAAAAGTGCTTAATCTCTGGCGCTGAGATTTTCTTTCTCTACTGTTATAAAAGTAATTTTAATTTACTTATTATATATATATATACACATATATACCTATCATGGGTTGAAAGTTGGCAATGGCAGTCATGGGAGAATGCAAGCTCTGAATCAACAAGAAGATGAAGGTATGATTAACGTATATAGATGTACATATATAGTTGATATATATTTATAGGTTTAATTCAAAGAGAGAAGAGTAGGAAGATGAAGGTATAATAGTCAATTTATATGTTTTTTTAACAGAAGTTAGCGTGCGTTTTGGTCCACAAACCACGTGGGAGTTATGTGATGATTTTCAAATGTCATGGGATAATTCGTACCCGGCCCAAAACACAAAGGGATAAAGTGAAGTTTTCCCTTAAAAAATTTATGGTCTGGCTAACAAGTCTCTTTAGAGTATAAGTCAAGAATAATACTAGGAATCATGAAAAAAAATAACATGAAATGTTTCATGAAGATTTCTTATCATTTGATTAGTGTGTGGTGTTTTCTTGTATGTGTAATCTAACAGTATTTTTCATGATATTTTTTTCATGATATCTAACATTACTCATAAGTAAAAGATAAAATATTTTACAATACATTACACTTTTTACTAATTTTAATACACTTTTATTGAAATTAATATATTTTTTAACAATTTTATACACTTTCAATAGATTTTTTTATGAACTTTTTAACATTAAATAATGTCTATAAAACACTTGTTAGTGTTTAGTTAAAATTTATACTTTGATTGAAAGAAAGGGTTTGGAATCAAAAGAAGATGAAAAAGACTAATCAAAACCCGCTGCTGTGTATATAAACTGGACAGGCTCGCTCGAGCGAAGACTTGGTCGCTCGAGCGACCAGACACAGAGAAGCTACGCTCGAGCCAAGGAAGCCTTGCTCGAGCCAACAACCCAAAAGCTCGCTCGAGCGAAAGAAAACTCGATCGAGCGAAGAACTCAAACCCTCAGGTCTGTAACCAGACACACGCTCGAGCGAAGGAACTATCGCTCGAGCGAAGAACGAACTAACACGCTCGAGCGAAGAAAAGCTCGCTCGAGCCAAGAATGCACAGCTACAGGTCCAAATCAGACGCAACCTCTCGCTCGAGCTACCAAACCCCGGCTCGAGCGAAGAACCAAAAATAACAGCTCGCTCGAGCGACAAACTCCTAGCTCGAGCGAAGATCCAAAATTCTGGACAGCAACACTTGGTTTCTAAACCCAACCAACCTGAAACAAACCTGCCCAACACATCCTATAAGTCCAAATGAGCAAATAAGGGACAACAATAACAATTATACAATGACAGAATCTACGGAACCTAAGTCCGGATACAATAATCAAATGGGAGAAGACCGGGGTCGCTATAATATATATGCACATATAAAAAATATTTAAAAATAAGTGAATTAATATTATTGGATGTATTTATTTAAATTAATGGGGTGTCTGTGATCTTTTTGCCAAATGTTAAGAAGTGTCCGTATAATTTTTGTTGAATGTCAAAAGGTTGTATGTGATTTAATAAAATAAGATGTCTATAATACAACTTCCAAACGCCAGAGGTGTCATATTATGAAATGTTTAGTGTATTTTCAAGAGGTATTTGTGGTTTTTACCCCCTATTAATTATTATTCCTTTTACTCTTTCTAACAATTTACTGTCTAACACTAGCAATTGAAGATAGCCTGCCTAAATGACCAACAGGGCAGATCAATAATTCATTCACGTACTTGTATTTAAATACAACAATGAGGTTAAAGTGACACCAAATTAGTAGTCTAAGGTGGCCTTCTTCCAGTGGCAAGTATGAAACTAAATTGAAATTTACAATGTCTAAAATTGGAACCACACCTTATTTCAGATTATAAACTTTGAAATCGAGCCTTAGCACATTAAATAAAGATCCGATAACCACAATCTAACAAACAAATCTTCTCATATCTGAAGTTTTACATTGATCATGAATATCAAAAGCCAAACATATCTGCATATCACAAGTCGAAAGACAATTATATCTCTACATTGAGAATGGAAGAGAGACCACCACCAACTGAAAATGGAAGTAAATTACCTTTACAACTTCCTATTATTCTTGGCTTCCTCTAGCATTGTTGATTGGGATAGGCTTCTTTCCAAATGAAGTGGACGATCAATCAAGTTTCTGTAAGAGAGTCAAGGAAGTCCAGTTTTTGTGAGAGAGCCAAGCATTGCACAACAAAAGAACCTACCACGTGATCCACTTCCTTGTTGATTAATGCTGCTCCCCAATTCCGACCTTTCTTCTATACCTTTGTCAAGGGCATTACTAGATTTTGCCTTCTCCTCTAAAACTTCATTTCCTTCTATAAGTAAAACTAGGCTTTCCATGTAATTATCCAAATGAAACGATTGTTTCAACCCATGGATTCCAAGATACACTATTTGCCCGTCTTGAAATCATATGTAACCAACTTCCCCTCACTATCTTCTGCCAAAAATTCACCATTCTTCCTAAAACCTACAGCTTTGCTTATACCAAAATCAATTGTGAACAATTTAGTCCAAGACTCAACCACACCATACTCTGTCATCACCCATATATCACAATCCTTACTTGGATACCCCCAATCGCTATCATAATGGAACAAACAAATCGATTCCTCATACACTGCAACCGATGCAATTAGTCTGAACACATTAGCAGCACAATCCGGGAGCTTTATCTCATGAAACACTTCAGTACTGATGTTGAATGACAGTATCAAATAGCACCTTATTTCCTTCGTCATTGCCTCAAACCCAATCCAGCGGCATGCCCGGTTCACAAAAGCATGGGAAACGCATTGCATCAAATTATATGATGGGGCAACAGTATTAACAGTTCTCCAAGTCCCTATGCTAAGCATATAAACATCGACCTCTACCGGAAGCCTGTAACCAAAGTTCTTGTGGAAATATACAAGTCTCACCACCTTAAAATCGTTAGTCAAGGAATCAAATCCGAATCCAAGGATAAACGTATAAGAACCGTGAGACTTATATGTAATGCGAGGTGTTGGAAGATTCAAACATCTCTTGATTGATGGGTTCCATAAAATCGTAGTCTGATCATAAGATGACAAGAACACTAACCCGTCACACAAACCCACTACCCTCAAATAATACTTTGTCCAGTTTGTAAATGGGCAATCAAATGTTGTACACTCATTGAATGTGTTGTTATTGCAATGCACTGTGAACTGATCTTTGCCATCAGTGCGGTGCCTAAGTAGTACTAATTCATTGTTGTTGTTTGCAAGAGTTTGGTTTGTGTGTGACGTGATGAAATTTGGACTATTGATTAGAGAGTTCCATGATTTGCATACACACCTCATATGTAACAGGGACTTGACAAGTAGTCTTGCCAAGATATCAAACACCACTTCTTGAGGTAGATTGTCCGACATATTGTTCGCCTTGTGAGAAATTTCTCTGGTTTGGTTATGGTTTTGCCTTCAGATTTTCAGAGATTGATCTGTTCCTTGCACTCTCATGGAACTCTCACATTTGATGTTCCTTCAAACCTGACCTTCATATGATGAGATTTGTTGGCTAGACAACCCAATAATTTTCCAAGCAAAAGTGACAAATTGTGGGATATATTTGAGGAAGGTTTGTTATCATTAGAATGGACTCCATCACTAAGAAAAAGTTATGTTTGTAGATTAGCAGATGGATACAATGGTGTGATCCTGATGCTCATTGGTTTTATACATATAATACACTTTTATTCTCTTTAAAATATCTTTTTCATATTATTGTAATAATTTAATTTTATCAATTTCATTTTTAAATTTAGACTTCCAGTCAAATCCATTTAATTTCTTGTCATCTGAATCAACAAAATAAGGGAGACTTATTTATAAGTCCTCTTTCAGACACTTATGGTAGGCTAAGTCCTGTGTAATTTCTTATAGAGTCTTAAGTCCTATTTAGATAAGAATATATTTCACAAGATCCTACATAAACTTAACGTGACGTGACACTTACATAAACGTAACGTAACGTGACACCTATATAAACGTAATGTAATGTGACACCTACATAAACGTAACGTGACGCCTACATAAACGTAACGTAACGTGTCACGTTACGTTTCGCAAACTTAATGAGTTTTTATTTTTTTAAATTGAATGTGAAAATATTGCTGGTTTATGTTGGTGTCACGTTACGTTTCATATAAATATGATCTATGGCAACATTTAATGTTGCCATAGATCATAGGTGTCACGTTACGTTTATATAGATATGATCTATGGCAACATTCAATTTCCTATAATTGAATGTTCCCATAGATCATAGGTGTCACATTACGTTTATGTAGGTGTCACGTTACGTTACGTTACGTTTATGTATATATAAGGAAATTGCATGTTACCATAGATCATAGGTGTCACGTTACGTATAGGTATCACGTTACGTTACATTTATATAGATATGATTTATGGTAACATTTAATTTCCTATATATGATTTTATTATTATTTATGATATTAACAACTAATATTGAGAGTAAATATGTCAACAAACTTCCCACAGGACTTATGGGAACATAAATTTTTTAGTATGACCATATATAGCATAAGTCTCCCTAATAGGACTTATAAATAATTTTCCCTAAAAAAAAGTTAAAAAGTCTATTTCAAACAAAACGTTTTAACCTAAACTAAAATAGTCGAAAAATTAAAAAGTCAACTCACATCCAAACAAACCTTGGGTAATCTTGTACATGGATACATGATTCCCAAGTGAATTGTAATTGGTAACAAATATATATTTTATAATTTTATATTAAACAATTAGAAAATAAAAAATCCATGATAATTTATAATTTTATGTTAAATGAATAAAAAGCAAAAAGAATATAATAATTTATAATTATTAAGAATATAATTACGTGGTGCTCCTAAATCACGGTACAAATTTTCATTTATCTCAGGGTTCTGACACATGCACCTGGTTAAAGTAAGACACCCCTCCCACAGCGTGAGGATCCTTTGAAATACAAGCCTGAAGTGATCTCCTAGAGTGATCTAATTCGACGGCTGAAATTAAAACCAACCAAAACGACGTCGTTTTAGTTAATAAGTTGAAAAATAAAAATAAAAAATTCATCTGCTTCTTCTTCCAACATCAGTCTCGTAATTATGCAACCTAAGCATGCAAGCAAGCTAATGCAACATGAGCATGCAAGCAAGCGATATGCAACCTAAGTATGCAAACATGCATGCGTACAATGTAATAGGCATGCAACAACAATACCAATAACAAACATGCAACAACATGTAATCTAACAAGTATGCAAGATAGATGAGCATGCAACAACATGTCAATTAGCAAGCATGCAACAAGCATGTAAGCATAATGTAATAGGACTAGCATGCCACAACATGCAGGGAACTAATATGCAACAACATATAATGTACCAAGTATGCAATAAGCATGCGACAACATGCGAGGTAAACATGCAACAACATGCGAAAAGATGGACTTAAACTAAAGTGGACAGCTCTTAAACATGCCCAAATCAGTGGCCGAAATGCTATGGAAATGAAGACAAAGGTACATACAAACATGCATGCCAATTGGCCTATCACCTAAGCATAGGAGAGAAACTTTCAAGAACACTTAAAAGAAGACAAATATGGACATGTGACAGACATTATAAGCTCTGAAATCATGTTAGGAAAGGTGCCAAACTGTCACGACCCCAAACCGCCCGTAGTAGGATGGTGCCGTGATAGCCAATAATCCGAGATTACCGAAGGCCAACTTTCAAAATTCACACACAACCAGAGTATAAATATATGGGGCTCACAAGTACGGAAGCAAAATATACAAATCTAATTAGTCCATAAGAGCTATGCGTAAGTCGAATGAAATGGCATACATCTCCCCATGGGTTACAACTTAGTTACAAATGAAGTAAAGTACATATTACATCTTGATCAAAAGGCTTCTCAAGTCGACGTATGCAAAATACAAGTATTACAAGTCGAGAAGCATAATTTTCAAGATTTCCGACATGACAAAAATCCAAACAAGCTCGCTAATCACATCTAGGCGTCACCGCCTTCTTGCTCATCACCTACATATATATATAGAGGGTGAGCTTGGATACTCAGTGAATGATATAAATAATAAAGGGGTTTGCATGAATAATAGTCAACGTCTTTTCAAAACGCCACGTATCGGAACTTTATAAAACAAGGGATGGACCTCGTCCATTTGGCAAATCTTCAAAGCTTCAAGGGGTGCTTACTAGCATCGACGTATTACAAATGATGACATTCTAGACAAACAAACCCACGCGGTAAACCGTTAGTGGCAAAACAAGACAAAGCAAGGGAGATATCTTAAACAATGGTGCAGTTGCATTATAGTCCCCCGGCACTAAGGACTTTCAAAACAAGATGTGCAGTTGAATTATAGTCCCCTGGCACTAAGGACTTTCAAAACAAGATGTGTAGTTGCATTATAGTCCCCTGGCACTAAGGATTTTCGAAACAAGATGTGCAGTTGCATTATAGTCCCCTGGCACTAAGGACTTTTCCAAAAATGTCATCAAAACAAGATAATACTTGATACATAAAGTGGGGACAATCATTCATGCTTAACAAATACTTTTCAAAACAAGGCAAAGCAAAGCTTATCAAAACATGATAACATAGCTTTATTAAAAATACCACTCACATAGTTCTTCAAACGTCGGGGTCAAGGCAAAAGTCCGAGTCCTACAAACACATGGCAAAGTCTATTGAACGTACTTTCAAACAAGATTCACATGCAAACGGATGATCTCGACATTCATCAAAACTAAGTTAAATCAAAACAAAACACTATTTTTCATCTCGGGAAAAATATGCTGGGCATCAACTAGGTCTTGGCCAAGGTCCCACACCTTCTCGCCGAGGTGTGGTTTCGACGGCCACATTCAAAAGCAAAGTTGGGAAAATCTGGGTTTCCCTTTGAGGAACATAAAGATGGAGAAGATGAAGAACATGCATGCTAAAATCATAACTTGTTATTACCAAGTCTGGGATTTCGTGCTATGAGTTCGAAAACATAGACCTGGGCACCCATATTCAAGGATCTTGTGAGAATAAACACAAAAACATGGTTCTTGATGCAAACTTCCAGATCAAAACAAGACTTTTCTTTAAGAACATAAGAACACTATTTTCTTTTACTAAAACCGACTTAATCAATGCAAGGCGTGCAGAACAGGTTCGATCATGCAATGCAGCTGGACGATTAATAAGAACAACAAGAGTAGATTAAGATTCTAACCTCAAAACTTGAATCTAACGGTTCAAACTCCCATGGTCAAGCTTGGAGGTCCACTCTCTCACTCAAAAGCTTCTTCTTCTTCTTCTTCTTCTTCTTCTTCCTAGAGGCTCTCTCTCTCTCTAGAAGACAAGATTTGATACAAAAATGATACGTTTTCTCGACAGTCATTGACTTAACCCTCTGTTGGGACACATGGCATCGGCTGATTGGCTCTACTAAAAAAGGTGACTGACTGACAAGACAAGACCATGACAAACTGTGTTCAACAAGCTAGACGGCAAGAGCACTCCGGCAAGTGATGATCTCGACTAAGGGCAAAGCTTCGGCAAGTAGGGTGGCAACGACATCGGCTTGGAAGGACAACACTTGACTAAGCTGTGCCACACGTTGGCCTAGATGTGCCACATCTCGGTCTAGGTCATACCATTCCAGGAACAAAATCACTAAGTGTAAGGATCAAGGATCTAGAATGCCTAGATAATAACATCTCGGCCTAGGTGACGCACACCTCGGCCTAGATGATGACATCTCGGCCAATATGCCAGGGTGAAGGTGGAGGTCAACCGAAGTGGTTCCAAGATAGTTCTAAGTGTGGAAAGGTTCCAAGGTGTCTAGGCTTAAGATGACCTCGGCAACACACCAGGCAAGAACAAAGCATGCAAGCAACACTCAAGCAAAACAAGACAGGATTTGTAAATGCACATAATAAAACAAGATCATACATAAATGTATGTAAGTATGACTAAGTTGAACTGAGGGTTGTTACACAAACCAACCAAACAAAGCAAGCAAGTCATGCAAAAAGACTTAAAGCTTGAAACTAGCCAAGGGACTCAAACCAAGGCTATGCAAAATCTGAAGCAAATGACAAGTATAATCCAAAACAGTCCTAGATCATGCCAAAATGAGCCTAAAACATGCAAGGACCAAAGCCAAAATAAGCTAGAACAAAGGGCCGAAAGCATGAGGCATGCAAGGTTACAAAAGAGGTGTTACACTACACCTATCAAAACCAAACATGGCATGACTTAAGCAATGAAAAACAGAGTTATGGCATGGTAAAACAAGACCAAAAACCCACTTAGATGGCATCCCAAAGACCTAAACATGATGGCACACACAATGACCCATTCATGAGGCATAAAACATCAACTCTTTAAAGCATTAAAGGAGTGACAAGTGCAAGTGTTTGAGCATGAAACATGGACTGAAATAGTATAACAAATGATGCCAAATCATTGAAATGGTCCAAGTAAAGCATGCTAGTGACTTGGACTCACAAGGCTAACAAGCTAGAATGTCTTATGGCTATACAAAGCATGGCATATATGGTCAAAACAACTCAAATCAAAGCTTAAGCATATTACAACAAGGCTAAAAGCTTCATGGAGTTGAGCCAAAATCATGCTAGAAACATGGCTTAAAGCATGATGCATGTTAAGGCAAATGAAAGGATTGCAAGGCAAGTACATGAAGCATACATGGTATGTCAAAACCAAGTCAAAATAGTGTTATATCATGGCAAAACAAAGCCTAATACATACTGAAATGAAGCTAAAACAAGCCAAGTAAACATGTTACCAATATAAGCCATTTATACTAGCATTCAAGACAATAAGGAGAGGGGATAACCCTCTCCTATTTAGGACTCCAAAACCACCTTCCCACCACTGAAAATCCTCTGGATTTCAGTGGTAGGAAGGTCATGCAAAGCCAAGAACAAGGGCCAAAAGGGATGGCCTAAAACAAGGCCTAACAAGGCCTAAGAGGGGGGAAACAACCCCAAACCAAAAAGTGATCTTAAACAAAGATCTAAAGCATCAAAAATCAGAACTTATTGTAGTTTAGAGTTAAGCTTTAAACAATAAACAAGAAGGTCTAAAAGCTTAAGCAAAAAAGGGGTATTAAAAGCAAGAATGCTCACCCTTGAAGAGCACTTTCAAGAACAAAGCTCCAGCAGGTTTTCCAAGCTCAAACCAACCCAAGAACTCTAAAATCAACCTCAAGGGACCTCAGCTCCAAGAGGATGGTGTTCTAGTGTGTGTTTGTGTACAATAGTAAGACAATACTACACTTTTGAGTACAAAACAAGGTTAAACAAAGAAGAATAGATACAAAAGTATATCTATCCCTCAAGACTCAATTTTCTGAACCCTTGAGGAGAAAGGAGATGGTTCTCTCTTATAGAGAACCAAAAGCAAAGCTTCTTGAGGAAGCTAAGCAAAGGGGCAAATCCCTCCATACACGTGTATGGAGGGGGTGAATTGTGCATGCCAGCTATGACAGCTGGCATAAAATATCTGCATAAAGCAGATGAACAGGGTTCGGCCAGAAAACATGGCCGATCAACCAACATAAGTGCCGATCGACCAAAAGGAGCGTCGATCGGCCAACACTTTTGGCCGATGGCAAGAAAACAAGGCCGACGGCTTCAAGCCTTGGCCGATGGGTTCAAGGGATGGCAAACAAGCCACCCTCTTCCCTCATAAGCAAAAACACAAGTGTTTGGTCCACAACTAAGCACAAAACAGACAAGCTGAGAGATCTTGAGACAAGGTGCGTGACCGAGGCCTCCGGGAACTCAAAACGAACATAGGCATGGATGATCATCGAGTGTTCAAACGATGACGTCCAAGTCTTGAGGACGGTCAAAAATGGGGTGTCTATACCTTGGCTAACTTAAAGTCAAGACTTTATCAAAATAAAATTTTATTATCTCTTGTATTAGTATTTAAAAATGTTGCGACGTTGAATGTGAACTTGTAATTTTATTTTGTTGTTGTTGAACTTTGACTATGTGAGAATTTAAAATTCCCTAATTAGTTGTTAACATTTTATTTAGCAAGTTATTTGTTATTTAAATTTTATGATGTTCCACAAAAAAATTTTTTTTTGGGGGCATTACTCATTTGACGCTGAATTTTGAATCTTGTTCCAAATAAGGAAAATTGAAGATACCATTGCTTAATTTCAAGGGCAAAATCGTCAATTTGATAAAATATAGACTAATTTGACAAAAATAAATGTCAAAAAAATATTTTTAAATTTTTCAAAATTATTATTACCCACCAAAGATAAAATAATATAAAATTGATAAATCTTTTAGGCATTTATTTTTTTTTTTACCAAATTAATTTTTATTATGGATTTGGATAATGATCATGTAATGGGCAGTTGTTAGGATTTTAATGTGTAATTGATATATCTAATATATAAAATGTTTTTAGTTTTGGATTTTTTTGATTTAATAATATTAGTTTAATAATAACATCAAAGTTGTCGCCATATTTAACTTTTGAAAAAATAAAAATTAATTTAATGAAAATAAAAATAACTACCCATTATATGATCATCATCCAAAAATTAATAAAAATTAATTTAGTAAAAAAATAAATAAATAAATGTCTAAAAGATTTATCAATTTTACATAATTTTATCTTTAGTGGGTAGAAATAATTTTTAAAAAATCAAAAATATTTTTTTCACATTTATTTTTTTCAAATTAGTTTATATTTTATCAAATTGATGATTTTGCCCTTGAAATTAAGCAATGATATCTTCAACTGTCCTTATTTGAAACAAGATTCAAAATTCAGGATCAAATGTGTCACAATTGAAAAGTCAGGGAGCAAAGTAATACAAGTCCTAAACTATAGGGACCGTTAGTATAATTCACTCGTAAAAACTATATATTTAAGCCACTATGCCATGCAGACGAGAGCTCCGCCCTGTTGCAATTCAAACAAAGCTTTTCAATTGACAAATCCACTTCTAGTGATCCTTCTGCTTATCCGAAGGTTGCATCATGGAAGCTCGAAGGAGATAGTGGCAACTGCTGCTCATGGGATGGTGTCAAATGCGATGAGGATACGGGTCATGTGATTGGCCTTGACCTCAGCAGCAGTTTCCTCCACGGTTCTATCAATTCAAGCAGCAGCCTCTTCAGCCTAGTTCACCTTCAGCGACTTAACCTTGCTTATAATGACTTCGATTACTCTTGCATTCCATCAGAAATTGGCCATCTCTCAGGGCTAACAAGTCTCAACTTTTCCTCCTCTGCATTTTCCGGTCAAATCCCTTCGGAAATCTCAAAATTGTCCAAATTGGTTTCCATTGATCTTTCTTTCAATGTTGACTCATCATTTTCAGGACTACTAAAACTTGAAAAGCTTGGTCTGAGAAGCCTACTTCAAAACTTGACTAACCTCAAAACTTGAAAAGCCTGAAAATCTTAATTTCTTGAATCAATTAGATTTCTCTGGCTGCTATTTCTCAGGGTCCCTTGCAGCTTCACTCGGTAATTTGACCCAACTCAATTACGTGTCGCTTTCATCCAACAAATTTAATGTAGGGACCCTACAATTGCCTGGGAAGCTAACTGAACTCACTGACTTGGACCTTAGTGACCTCAATCTATGCGGTTCAATCCCATCAGTTCTTTCAAACCTAACTCAACTTACTCATTTAAACCTGAACTCCAATCACTTAAGTGGTGAAATAACATCCCATATAACGAACCTAACCCATCTAATTTCGCTAGATCTTTCAATTAATCAATTGCAAAGCCCAACCCCAAGGTCATTCTCTGAGGTAAAGAATCTTGAATTTCTATATCTTTCCTTCAATAACCTTGGCGTCTTGGAACTTGAAATTTTTCTGATGCTCAAAAATCTTGCTTATCTCGATTTGTCTGGTAACAAATTAATAGTTCTAACCAAAAAAACCTTAAATAACACTCTTAACAAATTAAAATTGTTGGAGTTGAATTCGTGCAGCTTAAGGGAATTCCCAAATTTCTTGCGCTTCCAAGACAAACTTTGTGTTCTATCCCTTGCTGAAAACAAAATTCATGGCGAAATTATGGCATGGATGTGGAACACAAGTGTAGAAACTCTAGCGTGGTTAAGTCTTCGGAATAACTTTCTAACAGGCTTTGAGCAACAACCAGATATCCTTCCATGGGATAATTTAGGCGAATTAGACCTTTCTTATAACAGGCTACAAGGACCACTGCCAATTCCACCATTATCCACCTGCTCTTGTAGTGTCTCTTACAATGGATTGACAGGAGAACTTCCACCATTGATCTGTCGATTGAGTTCTCTTTATGTTCTTGATTTGTCTAATAACAACTTGACTGGAGCTATTCTTCCATATTTGAGTAACTTCAGTGATTCTTTGAAAGTTCCAAATCTCGAAGGCAACAACTTTCAGGGTCCCATTCCTCACTCATACAATAGAGGAAACAAATTGAAGATGATTGACTTCAGCGGTAATAAATTACAGGGGAAGGTGCCAAGATCATTGGCACATTGTACCGAGCTTGAGATTCTTGATCTCTTAAATAATCTGATTGACGATACATTCCCCTTATGGTTAGGAGATCTTACAAAGTTACAGATTCTCATCTTGCGATCCAACAAATTCTATGGTGCAATAGGGAATCCCAAAAATTAAGTTACCAAATTTGCACATCATTGACCTCTCTCATAATGGTTTTACAGGTGATTTGCCATCAAAATACTTTCAAAATTGGAATGCAATGAAATTTTTTGATGTCAACAAGATGAAATATATGAACACAATCATTGAAGTTCGCAGGAACAATGACAGTTGGGGTGAAGGCTATGGGTACACAACGAACATTACAAACAAAGGTGTAAATACAGAATATCAGGAGATCCCGAATATCTTCACTGCCATTGATCTCTCAAGCAACAAATTTGAAGGGGAGATTCCAGAATTTATTGGAAACCTTAAGGGGCTTCAGTTGCTCAACCTTTCCAACAATGACCTTAATGGTGGAATCCCATCATGCTTGGGGAACCTAACAAACCTTGAATCTTTGGACCTTTCTCAAAACAAGCTCTCGGGAGAAATCCCTCAGCAACTAGCACTTCTCACTTTCCTTGAATTTTTAAATGTCTCAAATAACCATCTCACCAGACCCATTCCACATGGAAAGCAATTCAACACATTCAAGAACAATTCCTACGAGGGGAATTCAGGATTGTGAGGAGACCCTTTATCAAGGAAATGTGGAAAGTTAATTGTGAGGAGACCCTTTATCAAGGAAATGTGGAAAGTTAGAGGCACCACCACCATCGAACTCGGAACAAGATAATGATTCAGCATTCCCAAGTAAATATACACGGGATATGTGAGTGGCATAGTAGTTGGGATGGTTATTGGGCACACAATAACCACAAGGTATCACGATTGGTTCATCTAGAATTTTGGAAGGAAACAGCACAAGTTGAGAAGGGAGAAAAGGAAGGGACACGGAAATCGAACTTGATTAGGCATTGCTTCACAAGCTGTTTCTTTTGGGGTACGTTTCTAAATTTATTGAATTATTTATGTATAATGCTTTCATGATATATTTTTAGATGAATTGTGTACTCTAGCTTCTCCTTATAGAATCGCATAGATCATCTTACCCAAAATTTCCATTCCCATGTATTAAAGGCAGTCACAATCACATAATGGTGTCTTGAGTTTTCTATATTTTGAGATTCTTGACGCATCATATGATTGATTGTTCATTAAGTATAGGGATCATGAGATTTTGAATATAGAGAATCTCTAACTTTATGGCAATACTACTATATGTATTTCGTTTCACAAAGACAACAAAGTTGGATGGGTTGATGCTATGCACCAAACCCCCCCCCCCCCCCCCCAAAAAAAAAAAGAAAAAAAGAAAAAGAAAGTATGCCATGGTTTAAAACATTACATGAATCATGTGAAGAAAATTCTAACAAGCATTATGTACTTTTTTAGGATGAATTATACTAATAGTTCCTGTAATTTGGGCTAATTTGGAACTTGTGTTGCTTTGGTCCCTCATCTTTCAATTATGATATATTGACTCTTAATTTTGAATCTCATTTCAAATAAGGGCAATTGAAGATATTGTTTCCTTTGCAAACAAAAAATGCTTCATTTCAAGGGTAAATTCATCAATTTAATAAAATATAAATTAATTTGACAAAAATAAATTTCAAAAAGTTATTTTTGAATTTTTAAAAATTATTTCCACGCACAAAAAATAAAATTATATAAAATAATAAAATCTTTTACATTTTTATATTTTTATTTTTTTACCAAATTAATTTTTAGTACGTATTTGGATGATGATCATGTAATGGGTGATTGTTTTTGTTGATGTTTTTGGATAATTATCATGTAATAAATGGTTGTTTTTGTTGTTAACAAATATTTTTGGATAGTCATAATGTAATGGATGGTTATTAGCCTTTTAATGTGTAATCGATATGTTTAATATATGAAAGGCTTTTAGTTTTGGATTTTTTGATTTAATTGATTGATTTAATAATGACATCTAAGTTGTCGTCATGTTTGACTTTTGAAAAAATAGAAACTAATTGAACAAAAATAAATATAAAAAAATTAAATTTAAAAAATTATTTCTACTCTCCCAAAAGATAAAATTATACAATAATGATGTGCTTTTAATTTTTTTCACCAATTTAATTTTTAGTTATTAGAAAATTTTTCTAAAAATAGATTTTGAAAACTAAACTAAACAGAATTTTATAACCAAGAAAGGGCCAACATTATTCATTAAAAAAATGCCATTATATTTCAAACAACATACAAGTTAATCATCACAAATATGCCGACTTTATCCTCAAAATAGACCGTTTGCAAATAAACATATTTGATTATCCTTATTTGTAATAAGATTCAAAATTTAAGATCAAATATATCACAATTGAAAAGTTAGGAACTAAAGTGACATAAATTCCACACTACAAGAATTGTTAGTATAAATCTTCTATTTTTTAAAAAAAAAAAAACATTCAGTGTGCTTGGTTTTAGTTTTCTGGATTAAGTTTTTTGAAAACTGAGTTTTTTAGTTTTCGTATTCTTTTGTTTTTAGTGAATATTTTTTAAATTTTAAACATTTTTTTTACTTTTTTAGATGCACCTTAGTTAGATGTATCTAAAAAGTAAAAAATTTGTGAAAGAATATTTTAAAAAATTAATAAATACATAAAAATACAAAAAAAAAAATGTACTGAATTCTTGTATTTTTTTTATATTTTTGGTATTTAGTGAATTTTTAAAAGATTTTTTTTACAATTTTTTTACTTTTTAGGTGTATTTATGTTAGGTGTCTAAAAAGTAAAAAAATTACTTAAAATATTAAAAAAATTAATAAAAACAAAAAAACACAAAAAATAAGAATGTAAAATTTTTTGAAAAATGTTTTCTGAAAAATAAAAACAAGTAAGGTGATTGTTCTTTCTTTTTCTTTTTCCATATTCGGCAGAGAAGACAAACATATACTTGGGAGGCTCTTTGTGGGGACTGACCTTAAGCCTTACAAATCCCCATGCCTATGTTTCAAGGAGTGGAAGACCTGCGACAAAATTTTAAATAAACCTTTTCCTTTTATTCTTTTTGTATTCCATGTTTTTAAAAGGTTATTAATTATAGTCCTATAGTTTGGGACCTTGTGTCAATTTGGTCCTGAACTTTTTCGAATGTGACAATTTGACCACTGAATTGAATCTTCCAAATAAGGACCATTGAAATATTTTATTAGATTTCAAGGGTAAAATGTCAATTTAATAAAATATAAAACTAGATTGACAAAATAAATGTCAAAAAAAATATTTTAAATTTTTTTTAAAATTATTTTATCCACCAATGAAAAATCATTAAATTATATAAAATTACATGGATTAACTTTTTTAAATTAATTTACAGTATCATCACACAAAACAATAATAATAAATTAACTTTGGTAAAAAAAAATGTCTAAAAAATTTTATCATTTTACATCAATTTAATTTAGTGGGTTAGAAATAATTTTTAAAAATTCAAAAAAATAATTGTTTGACATTTTATTTTGTCAATTAGTTTAATTTTTATCAAATTGACATTTTATCCTTGAAAAATCTGATACGTATAGGTTCAATTTCCTTATTTGAAACAAGATCAAAATCTCAGGATCAAATGTGTCACAGATTGAAAAATGTCAGGGACCAAAAGTCGACACGAGCCCCAAACTATAGGGATATTTGGTTAATGTTGCGCTTTCTTTTTTATGTATCTGTGGATGGTAGGATTGAGTGGGATCCCTTTACCCTTTTCCTTTAGGATTTTTTTTTTTTAAAAAGATATTCTTTAATTTTTTTATTCTCGCTACATGTTCATGAATCTTTTGAGTTTTTCTTAGGTGATTATGTGTGGCTGTCGAGGAAAGAAACTTTTTGTGCAGTCATGAATTTCTATAGGTGGAATGCTCTTTGGCGCTGTGATTAGTTCTTGTTTCAAGTTGTGAGTAGAATTATTTGGGAACATTGATGCTTTTGTAATTTGATTTGATTTTAGATAATGTGCTGTTTAAGTCATAATCAGCTTATTGTTGATTTCAGGGATAACACTTTTTACAAAGATAATTCTTTCTTTTTATTTTCCGTGTTTTGATTTTAATTTTTTCAACTAATTTTTTTAATATTCCAACAATTTTTTTTAAATTTTTAGAGTATCACTAACAATAATTACATTTAAAAGTTATATAATTTGTAAAAAAATCTTTAGAAATCAATTAAATACCAAAATTAAATTATAATTTTTTTTTGAGATCAGTTTATATTTTCATATATCTTGTTATTAATTGACTTTTTGTAATATTTTTTTACAAATTTTATATCCATATAATAAGATGCATCTTTAGAAAAAAGTAAAAAAAATCGTTTAAAAATTTCTTACAATATTGGGCAAATTAAGCAACCCCGCTCTGAGGTTTTGTAAAAAATCAGATTCTTCCCTGAGTTGAAGAATTACAAATGTGCCCCCTGAACGGGTTCAAATTTGCATAAACAAATTAGGGGGCAATCTTATGAAATAAAAACCTCAGGGAGTAATTTGTTATAAAATATAAACTCAGGAGCGGGATGTAATTTCTCAAACTCTCAAAGAGAATCTGTATTTTACCGAAACCTCGAGGGAGCTGTGGTATTTGCCCTGAAAACATTCACTAAAAATTAAAAAAATTACGAAATAATAAAAAAACTTCGATTTCAAAAATTGAAACCAATCACTGGTGAAATAGTATTTTGAACTTCCAACCCTGATAATTTGAATATTTGTTTTTTAATTTGTTTTTGGAATACCTACGCTATGCATTTGGGTTGTGTAGATTTTTTTTTCCCCTAATAATATATTAGGTTTTGTAATTAAAACAACATTTCCACTGCGAGCCGGGAGTTTTGGAGGGTGAAGGTTTATAGTTGTTTAGGTTCTTCCATTCGAAGCGCTCCGCGCGAGTGGGAGTTTGGGGGTGATCTTCCCGTTCTAAATCTTGGTGTGCGGTGCTCTTTGTTCGGTTAAGAGGTGAATGGCGCCGGTCCTTCTTAGAGAGGACTCTTCAGCGCGTTGTTGGTGAGGTCAAACTGAGGGAGTTTGTTTGGTAGAGTAAACCGGGCAGAAGTTTATTTGGTAATTTGGGTTTTCAGAGTAAAGCGTGGCTGCATAAGCAGCTCCATTTCCAGAGGCAAAGAGCAGCTTCCATGCACTAGCGGCAGTAGAGGAGGCACCAGCCAGCTCCATTTCCAGAGGGCAAGAGTCCACTGGCTGCTGAAGAAGAACCTAAGGGGGCCGCAACAGCAGTAAACAGGAGGCACCAGTAGTAGTTCTTGGCGGAAGGTTTGAAGACGAGAGCTAGGAATTGATTGAAGCCAAGGGAGGAGTAGGGACCCAGAGGGTTGCAGTCCACTGGGTGTCTCAGGCAGCAGTGAGCGTGGGCTCAGTGTTGCGTCCACCTCCTTCTTTTAGAGTGATTTTTCTCAGAGTGGTCCTTAGGGTGCAACACGTGTCCATTAAGCATCCACGGCTGAGATGACCTCACCAAAACGCGTCGTTTTGGTGCAGAACCAAAAAAAAAAAAAATTACAGGATGCTGGCAGATTGACGTCGAGAGGAGGAGGAAGAAAGAAAATGTAAGAAAAACTGGAAGAAGAAAGGATTTAGGAAGG